GGTGCTCGGCAAGTGTGGTCGGGTGCTAGTCATGGCCCTTCAGTTTGGGTCGTGACACTCAGCATATAATAGGTTGCATGCATGTGAGGCTCTCTAAGATCTTGCATAAACTGACTGAGATATTGAACCACATGTGCTATGTCTAGCCTAGTATTTGTAAAGAAGTTCAGTTTTCCAACTAATTTCCTGTAGAAGGTAGGATCAGAAAATGAAGCCCCCTCTTTAGCTTTCAACTTTATTGTAGGATCAAGGGGAGAAGTCAAACCTGGGGAATGTAGACACTCATATTCCTTTAACATGTCTAGGACAAATCCTAGGAAGTAATGTAAAGGATTTCTAGCCCTAGGAAGTAATGTAACTTCCCCAAATCCTTAATTTTAAACTTGTCACGTAGGAAAGCCTTGAGCTGGTTGATTTCTTCTGTATCAGTCCCTGTGAGCAACACACAATCAACATATACTGCTACAAAGACAATAGAGGAACCTTGTTTCCTGTGGAATGTGTGTACCCTTTTGGGTATAGGACTTCAGTCAACTTATACACCATTGTCTACTAGCCTGCTTCAATCCATAGAACTTGTTCAGCTTGTAAACTAACCCTGGAGAGTGCACTTCAAGACCTGGAGGAGCCTGCATATACACTTCCTCATGCAAATATCCATGGAGAAATGCATTATTCGCATCCAGTTGTGAGATTTCCCATTTTCTCTTTGCTATTATGGCAATGAGGGACATGATAGTTGTCATCTTGACTAATGGAGAGAAAGTCTCCATGTAGTCTATACCAGCTTGCTGAGTGTATCCTTTACAACTAATCTTGCTTGTACCTTTCTATACTGCCATCTGCTTTATGTTTTCCTTTATACACCCATTTACATCTATTGGCCTGTTTTCCTTTAGGTAAGGGGACTAGGTCCCATGTGTTATTAGCATACAAGGCCTCAAATTCCTGTGTCATGTCACTTTGCCAAGCAGGATACATGGCTGCTTCTTCATATGAAGTTAGTTCTCTATCATTACAGATGTTCTTTACAACATGTTGACTATCAGAATGTAGGGCATAAGAAGTAATGTGGTTATTATGAGAAAACATAGTATGCAGGGAGAAATTAGAATTAGACTTTAGGTTTGGTAGATTGCAAACATAATCATTCAGATGTGATGGGAGTTTGTGCTCCCTGTGAGATCTTATGTATCCTAGTGGTTATTCTATTGAAGGCTGAGTTGGTGTTATATCTTGAAGGTGTTCAATTGGAACATGTGTCTCATGTGAGAAAGGTGTAGGTGAAGGAGAAAGAGATGGCACATCAGGGAATGGAAGATTTATGTTCTCCTGATCATTAATGTTGTGAGGTATACAAGCATCAGTATGATCAGGTGAGTTGTTAGTGGTTGGTACATTATGAAAAATAGGTTGAATGTTGCCTACAACAAGATTGAAAGTGAAAGGAAAGATTGATTCATAGAATCAAACATCTCTAGAGATATGTATTTTCTTAGTGGTCAGATAGTACCTTATACCCCTTTGTGCCAAGGATATCCTACAAACATATGTGGGGTAGTCCTTGGTTCAAGTTTGTATCTTATAGGCTTTGGTACAGTTGGATAACACAAATATCCAAAACTTCTCAAGTGAGAGTAATTGGGCTTCTTTCCATATAACAGTTCAAAAGGACATTTGTTCTTTAGAAGAGTAGTTGGAAGTCTGTTAATGAGAAAGGTTGTTGTAAGTACATATTCTCCCCAATATTTCAATGGTAGTTTGGATTGAAAGAGTAGTGCCTTGGCCACTTCAAGAAGATATTTATGTTTTCTTTCCACCACTCCATTTTGTTGTGATGTATAATGACATGTTTTCTGGTGATTTATTCCCTTTGATTGAAAAAAAAAGGCTATTCATTTCTAGTAAACTCTAGGCCATTATCAGACCTTATACATTTAATAGTGGTTTGGAATTGATTTTCTACCATACTCACAAAAGCTTTATGACTTATAGTGCATTACTTTTGCAACTCAAGAAATGGGTCCAAGTAGACCTACTATAATCATCTACTAGGATAAGGAAGTATTTGAAGTTATTATGTGTGGACACATGGTAGGGACCCTACATATCTACATGGAGTATTTTAAAAATTTTAGTAGTGTCAGTTGTTCTTTGAGGAAAGGAAAGCCTAGATTGCCTGGCCATAGGGGAAATGGTACACATGAAAGGTTGTCTGGTAGAAAAGGTTGCAAGTATAGTAGAAATGCCTCTCATTTTATTGAAAGATACATGATCAAGTTTAAAATGCCACAATAGATCCACATTATCACTAAGAGATGAGCAAGAAGACAAACCAAAAACATTGTCTTTATTATTGCAATTGGAATTATTTACAATAGGGAATGGATTGTAAAAATGAGATAGACAGTGTAATATCATTCACATTATCAGCATGAACAGAAAAACAAGGAAGATCACAATTTTGTTCAGGTGTAAGACTACATTTCTTCAGACACTTAGAACAGAGGAAGTACAGTCCATCATACATCTTACCAATCTCCAGAGTCCTCTTCAGTAAAAGGGCCTGCAGTAGACAAGAAGTGTCAGAGAAGGATGCAATGCATTTGAGATGTATTTCTAAGGAACTGATAAACACTAAATTACATTTGAAGGATAGAATAAACAAGACTCTGTACAGAACAATTTTTAGGTGTTAGGGGTACATCTCCAATTTCAGTTACTTTAATTTTGTAACCATTTGGAATTTTAACTAACAGAAGATATGGTAGGCTTACAATATTTTATAGGTGAGTTTTGTTAAAAGTTATATTGTGTGATACCCCGAAATCTAACATCCATAAGTCAGCTTTTCCACTAAAATATTTGCATGATGGATTATCAAAATCAATTGAAGAGGTGAAAGCAATCATACCTGCAAAGTTCACAGAAACTCCACTAGACATATTTGCACTGGCTGAATTTTCTCCAATACTTCCAATCTGAAAATGCTACAGCAGGCTGACAATTTTTCCATACTGCTCTTTTGAAAAGCTCATGCTTTGATTTTCTCCTTGGTGTTCCACCTCCTCTCCTCTAACGATGTTTGCAACTGCATTTGACATGGTGTTATTCCCTTTGTTGAATCTTGTATTGTTGTTGTATCCTTGAGAACTCTACTTGTATTGTTGTGACCCTTGATTAAAACCCTGGGGGTATTCATGCAGCTTATAACACTTGTCCTTGGTGTGACCTGGTTGTTTGCAATGGTCACAAAAGGGTCGAGGTCTGTTGTTCGTAATTTGATTTTTAGTTGAGTAGTTTGTCTTGAAGGTTCTTCCTCTAGATTAACATTCAATTCAATGGAATCAACATTTAATTGATTTCTTGGCATGAATTCCCTCTGCTTTTCCTCTTATATCAACAGAGCAAATGCATGTGCCATGGATGACAGATGATTCATCATGAGTATGCTTCCTCGAACAACTGTATAAACTTCATTGAGTCCCATTAGAAATTGTATCAACCTTCTATCTTGTTCTGCCTTATGCATATTTTCCTTTGTCCCACAGGTACACACACAACTACAATGAGTTTTGATGCTGAGAGTGTTCAATTCTTCCCAGAGCTTCTTCATTATTGTGTAGTAGCCAATGATATCAAGCATTCCTTGACTCAAATCATTGATTTCTTTCTGGATTTGGTACAACTTAACTCTATTCGTCTGGTCACATCGATCCTCTAGTTCTTTCCATAGCTCAACAGAATCGTTCATATACTCAACACTATCAGCAATGTCCTTTGCCAGAGAATTTAGGATCCATGAGGTGACCATATCTTCACATCTCTCCCACTGACAAAAATGTGGAGACATTGCATCGGGTCTCTTACTATCCCAATTAATAAAACCTAATTTGTTTTTCACTAAAAGAACTCTCAATACACTTCTTCTCCTGGAACGATATCCAATTCCATCAAATGGAACATGTACTAGTGTGGAACCAGCAATGTCAGAAGGATGTATGCAAAGAGGGCTAGGTGCATCGATTACCGTCTACGTTGTTGCCGCTGTGGTCGTCTCTTCAGTCTGTTTTGCTATCACCATCGAAACTATGTAAAAACAGTTGAATTGATGTTCGTGTAGCTAAAATGTAGCTTAATTTCTTCTATTTGTTGATGAATCGTCAATGCATGCGTCCAATCGAGATTTTCCTCAAATTCTGATTGACGAAGAATCCTAGATTACTCAGTGACTAGAATCAACAAAAAAAACAAAGAAAGGGTGTGGTCGATGAGAGAACTTCAGCTCTGATACCATGTCAGGATGACAGATGTTGACTGAGCTCTGTATCTCTTCCAATGAAGGATTCAGTAGCTTCTAGAAGATGGAGTTTGTAGAGAGAGAAATGAGAACTGTAGAGAGTCTCTAACTTTATGAAATGAAACTCTAACCTTTTTATTGAGTACTGTTCAGTTATATACATGTGTACAACTAGGATACAACTAGCAAGAAAATAAGAAATAAACTTCCACTAACTAATATGCTAATAGCTAACAGATTATTCTAGCTAACACCAACTATACTAACTAATAATGTGCTCACTCAGCATAATTACAAGATAAATATAGTCTTAATAATTGAATTATTTAGTGTCATCATTTTTATTTTGACATTGTTACAAAACTTTTAAAAAAATAGCTCGCTGCAAAATCGTAAATTATGCTGCCAAAACTAAAAATTTCTTGTCAGCTTTAAAATTCTGGCTCGAGGATATTTTCCCAAAAAAGAAAGAGATTAATTTTACTAGTAAAAATTTATACATTTTATTAGTAATCTTTCCTTTCAAAAAGAATGAATCTATTCTTTTGGGAAGTCAAACAAGTTTTTCTTTGATCATTTGTTTGCAAATAGTTTTTAAATATTTTCAATTGTTAACTATTATGACTTAAGGAGCTATTTGGCCATATTTTTTTCCCGAAAAATATTTCAAATCATGTTTTGTTTTACATTTAAGGGGATTTTTGAAGACGAGTTTTAAAAAATTATGAAGACTAGTTTCTAAATTTACCACTTTTCATGTAAAATTTCGTTTCCGCTCGCAATATTACTGTAATATTATTTCAAGTGAAATACATATCCAAATATATTTTCAAATATAATTTTTCAACTTAACTTCAAAAATTACATTTTTTCCAAAATTCACATATTTTTAAAGATATAAAATTTATTTTAAAATACTTAAAAATTAATATGCGAATTCACCAAAAATTGGTCCAGTTGACTATTGTACTATGAAGAGGTCCAAATATAAATTGCAACAATGGAAGTATTTTGTGGCGTTTGGACATAAGAATTCTAAATTTTCAAAAAAAAAAGTAAAACAATTTTTCACGTGAAAATAATATTTGAAAATTAGAGTTTTGTTTGGACATGAATATAATTTTGGGTTGTTTTTAATGTTTTATAAGTGATCTAAGTGAAAATTTTGAAAATAATTTTTTGAAATTTTTTAAAATTTTAAAAAATTCCAAAATTTATCTTTAAATAAAAATTAAAATTTTATGTTCAAATACTAATTTCGGGAAAAAGAAAAAATTTGTTATGTCCAGACGGCCTCTAGTATGACTAATTTTCGAGAGACTACATTTAATTGATTTCTTGGCATGATTTCCCTCTGGTTTTCCTCCTATATCAACAGAGCAAATGCATGTGCCATGGATGACAGATGATTCATTATGAGTATGCTTCCTCGAACAACTGTATAAACTTCATTGAGTCCCATTAGAAATTGTATTAACCTTCTATCTTGTTCTGCCTTATGCATATTTTCCTTTGTCCCACAGGTACACACACAACTACAATGAGTTTTGATGCTGAGAGTGTTCAATTCTTCCCAAAGCTTCTTCATTTTTGTGTAGTAGCCAATGATATCAAGCATTCCTTGACTCAAATCATTGATTTCTTTCTGGATTTGGTACAACTTAACTCTATTCGTCTGGTCACATCGATCCTCCAGTTCTTTCCACAGCTCAACATAATCATTCACATACTCAACACTATTAGCAATGTCCTTTGCCAGAGAATTTAGGATCCATGAGGTGACCATATCTTCACATCTCTCCCACTGACAAAAATGTGGAGACATTGCATCGGGTCTCTTACTATCCCAATTAATAAAACCTAATTTGTTTTTCACTAAAAGAGCTCTCAATACACTTCTTCTCCTGGAACGATATCCAATTCCATCAAATGGAACATGTACTAGTATGGAACCAGCAATGTCAGAAGGATGTATGCAAAGAGGGCTAGGTGCATTGATTACCGTCTGCGTTGTTGCCGCTGTGGTTGTCTCTTCAGTCTGTTCTGCTATCACCATCGAAACTATGTAAAAACAGTTGGATTGATGTTCGTGTAGCTGAAATGTAGCTTAATTTCTTCTATTTGTTGATGAATCGTCAATGCATGCGTCCAATCGAGATTTTCCTCAAATTCTGATTGACGAAGAACCCTAGATTACTCCGTAACTAGAATCAACAAAAAAAAACAAAGAAGGGGTGTGGTCGATGAGAGAACCTCCGCTCTGATACCATGTCAGGATTACAGATGTTGACTGAGCTCTGTATCTCCTCCAATGGAGGATTCAGTAGCTTCTAGAAGATGGAGCTTGTAGAGAGAGAAATGAGAACTGTAGAGAGTCTCTAACTTTATGAAATGAAACTCTAACCTTTTTATTGAGTACTGTTCAGTTATATACATGTGTACAACTAGGATACAACTAGCAAGAAAATAAGAAATAAACCTCCACTAACTAATATGTAATAGCTAACAGACTATTCTAACTAACACCAACTATACTAACTAATAATGTGCTCACTCAGCGTAAATTACAAGATAAATATAGTCTTAATAATTGGATTATTTAGTGTCATCATTTTTATTTTGACATTGTTACAAAACCTTTGAAAAAATAGCCTGCTGCAAAATCGTAAATTATGCTGCCAAAACTAAAAATTTCTTGCCAGCTTTAAAATTCTGGTTCGAGGATATTTTCCCAAAAAAGAAAGAGATTAATTTTACTAGTAAAAATTTATTCATTTGATTAGTAATCTTTCCTTAAAAGAATCAATCTATTCTTTTGGGAAGTCAAACAAGTTTTTCTTTGACCATTTGTTTGCAAATAGTTTTTAAATATTTTCAATTGTTAACTATTATGACTTAAGGAGCTATTTGGCCATATTTTTTTCCCGAAAAATATTTCAAATCATGTTTTGTTTTACATTTAAGGGGATTTTTGAAGACGAGTTTTAAAAAATTATGAAGACTAGTTTCTAAATTTACCACTTTTCATGTAAAATTTCGTTTTCGCTCGCAATATTACTGTAATATTATTTCAAGTGAAATACATATCCAAATATATTTTCAAATATAATTTTTCAACTTAACTTCAAAAATTACATTTTTTCCAAAATTCACATATTTTTAAAGATATAAAATTTATTTTAAAATACTTAAAAATTAATATGTGAATTCACCGAAAATTGGTCCAGTTGACTATTGTACTATGAAGAGGTCCAAATATAAATTGCAACAACGGAAGTATTTTGTGGCGTTTGGACATAAGAATTCTAAATTTTCAAAACAAAATAAAGTGAAACAATTTTTTAAGTGAAAATAATATTTGAAAATTAAAGTTTTGTTTGGACATGAATATAATTTTGGGTTATTTTTGAAGTTTTATAAGTGATCTAAGTAAAAATTTTGAAAAATAATTTTTTGAAATTTTTTAAAATTTCAAAATTTATCTTTAAATAAAAATTAAAAAATTTATGTTCAAATACTAATTTCGAGAAAAAGAAAAAATTTGTTATGTCTAGACGGCCTCTAGTATGACTAATTTTCGAGGGAGTACAGGTTCCTAATCACACTGTACTGGCATTTGCCATTTTGAACAAATGATCTTTGCGTTATCGGGACAAGAGCTTCGTAATCGATAAGTCTCTTCCACTCCCGTAAAGATAACTATGAAAATAAATGGTAATAGTCGGTGATTGAACGGGGAATAAATAAAGCCAATTGAAATAAAGGGTTTTACGTCCACGAGGTTCACTAATGTTGATCTCTTCCGATTACAACATGCCCTTTATATTCCTCTGGTTCTTTCCCAAAGTTAATACTATGATGCTTTAAATTTCTTTTCATTTCCGCTAGTCATTTCTCATCGTTCCAAAAATGCCACGAAGAAGAAAGTTTCTGTGGAAAACTCCAAAATATCCAAATAGCCATGAAATTGCAATTACAGAGACCACAGTAGGAGGACATGATATAGCCTGTGTCGATAGAATTTCCAATTTGCCAGTCAAAATAATCCGTGAAATTTTTTTCCGGGTTCACCCGAAAGATGCAGCCAGAGCTAGTGTTTGGTCCAAGAGATGGCTAAGACTTTGGGCTTCCCTCTCAGATATTTATTTAGAGAACGGTGAAATTGGCATGCTCTTTCTTCGAATAACAGTTGATAAAAACTCTTCTTGTGAATTGCTGGTCAAAAAATGGATAAATTTTGCCATAGAAAACAAGGTTAAAGCGTTACATCTTGCTATAGAAGCGCTTACTTATGAGGAGCCTTTCCACCTTTTCTCTTTATCTGGTGTTACTTTTTTATCTGCTACATTAGTTGTTTTAAGTATCAAAGATTGTGAGATTAGTTCAGACTCTAATTTTATGGTTCCTAATCTAAGATCACTCTTTCTATATGATGTCTCGCCGGTGGGGTGATGATTTTGTATTCGCAGATTTCATAGCCGGGTTCCCTCGAATCGAGGAATTAGTCATAGAGCCTTATCCAGAATACTTGGGCACAATAGTAGTTCCAAATCCTACCTTAAAATTTTTGAAGGTGGAATACACTGCGTGTGAATCCAAATTACAAGTAAAGTCTAAAAAGCTGGAGTCTATTGTATTTTCATATTTAAGGCTTGAAGTGGATAAGTACGAATTCGAGATGGCTTCTCCTACTACGGTCAAGAATTTGACATTGGAAAGGGTTTATGCCCTAGAAAAGACATTGAGTCCTTTTATAAACAGATTCCCTCAACTTGAGAACCTTGTGATAGATGGTTGTCGCCGTGATGTTTTTTCTGGAGTTGATATGCTCCGCGAGCATTTTGAATTCCTTTTTGTTTCTCCAGCATCTGGCGAAGTTTGTGCTGAAGTTAGAAAAATTTGATAGAGTTGACGAGATAATATTACAGGCTCCTAACTTAAAATCCTTGGGAGTACTATGGTGGTCTTACTTCTTTTCGTGGAATTAAAGCTTGTAATGGGTTGGAATTTGTTAAATTCCATTTAAGACTCAAAATGCTTAATGCTCGCTGGTATATTTGGTTAAGAAATATTTTGGAGTCTTTTGCTCATTCCAAGCACTTGAGTTTGATTTGCGAGAATGAACAGGTAAACCCTTAATTTCGTCTTTTTTTGTTTGCAATGGATCCGGTAATGTACAACTTTTTTTACCCAACATGTTTACCCAAATCAGTAGATATATAGTTTTTTTTGGCAAATTATAGCATTTAATCATGGTTATTTGATATGCATTCTTTTCTCATTAAACTAATTAACGGACATGGGTTGCTCTAGATAGATTGAGTACGTATGTATTTTTACTATGTTGCGAACAATACTACATTTTTGTAAGTGTCTTTGGACATGACCATGGATACGATGACCATGGATAGGATGGTGTGGAGGTTGAGAATTAGGATAGAGGATTAGTAGTCGAGCTTTGTCTTTGTTTTGTTACAATAGCTTTAGTACACCATGTCTTTACGTGTTTTCGCCTTTCTGGACTTCTATTATTACTTGTTGTTTTTGCTTTGGTTTTAATTGTACTAACTAGTGCTAGTTGTGTGTTTTTCGCTTGATTTTACGATTGGTTTGCTTGTCATTGACCCTTTCCTTTATCTTCCTTGAGCCGAGGGTCTACTGAAAACAACATCTCTGCCTTTTTAAAGGTACGGGTAAATTCTGCGTACATATTACCCTCCTTAGACCCTACCGTTGATGGAATGCACTGGGTTGTTGTTGTTGTTGTTATCTTTATTAGTCAAATACAGAAAGTGCATGCAAATAAAAGCAGATGAAACGTTTGGTTCGAGATTGCGTACTAGCTTGCTCATCCTGCTTTTATTTTTGTTTCAACTATTTGGGTTTTTGACATATAAGCAGCGCTGATTTTTACTGTTATTTGTAACTATGTATGTGACTTGATCTCTGTAACTCAATTTGAGTTTCTACGACTATTCAACTGTTTGGTTATTGATTATGTTGAGTTGTTTTTTGATGGTGTTGTCAGGATATCATCTTTCCTGATGAGCTAACTGAGACATTACTTCCACCAATCCATGATATCAAGAATCTGGAATTGCAAATTTATTCATCTACTGCAACTTCTCAAAAAATTCTAGATGGCTTTATTTGGATTCTTCCAGGTTTGAGAACTTTGTCATTGACTTTCGGGTCCATTGCAAAAATCATTGAGGTACTCATAAACTCCATTTGTTTTTTTCACTTACTTTTTTTCCCATTTTTCTGGTTAATCTTAGTTTGCTCGTCATTTTTGGGCACATTGAATTAACCTTCAAAACTAACATTGCTGCACCACATGCAAAGATTTGTTAAAATACAATGACTGGGTTGGAATTACGTTTTGCTGCTCTTCTATTATTACTTACTCTCTATGTATTGTGCTTGACAAACTTCATGTGTTTATTATTGCAAAATACAGTTTCAGAGAGAGGATGATGTGGAGGTGATTTTAGCCAGAGCATTAGCCAGAGTAAAAATTGGATCGCAAGCAAAAACTAACAAACGATGATTAGAGAGAATGTTTTTTTTATATTTTGAGAACTTTTTCGTGTTTTAAGCTCTGCTTTTGGAAGTAGAAGCACCAGGAAAATTTTGTTCTCCGTTTAAAGACATAGCTAAGCTGTAAGGCTTTGCTTGATCAATCACACTATGCAAAAATATGCAGTTGCCAGTTGTTAAATGTGCATGTTGGAACTGTTGAGTTGTATAGACTATACTATGATGCACTTGTAACTAGTTGAGGGGCTAAAGTGTAAATAGGAAATATGGAGTTAATTGGAGTCGGTTAGAGTGTAGTGATGTAGTCTATGAGTGGGACCACTCACGTGTAATACACTTACCGAAAATATAAGGCATAATAATTTAAATGACGCCTGTACTTGTGCCAATTTGTCATGCCGGTCCTCCTACTTTACTTTTTTTTTTCATCCAGACATTTTAACTTGTTTAAACTCTATATTTTAAACTCCTCTCACCATGTGTGTATCTCACTTGCTTGATGTGGATGACACATCATATTCCATGTCATTTTTTATATTTTTTTACTAAAAACACTTATTATATACTATTTTCTTAACGAAAAAGAAAAAGAAAATCAATGCCTCCATCTCTATCTCTTTTTCCTAAAATTCACAAATTTCTTCTTCCTAGGAAATGGCAAAATTAAATAAAAATATAATAAACAGTGATGCAAAGTTAACAGAAAAAGAAGAAAACATAATTAAGATCTCTTGAAAATTTTGCTAGAATTTTAAATAAATATCCTAATAAGTTATTTGTCAAACAACATTTTTCTCTAATAAAATACGGTTCACTGTAACGCTAGCTACATTTATGAGTTTGAATTCACAATTAGGTATTTTCAGAAATTGCCATAATATGTATTTTACTAAATTTTCAGCCAGCATAAAGAGAAAAATTAACTGAATTACAAGTAATAAACAAACATTGTGATATTTTAACTTTAAAGTACGGCAATAAAAATGAGAACTTGAAAATCGNGGGGGAGAAGAAGAAGAAACATGAGGGGGAGGGGGGAGACGAAAATGGAGGAACAGACAAGAGTATCTTTTTTGTTTTTTTACTTATTTATTTTTATTCTTATTTTAATGATTTTTTCTTTTTATTTTAATTTTTTTGGTTCAAAGTGTTCATAGTCACGCTCATTATCCACGTGAATTATACTCACTTTGTCCAGCTCAACCATTATTTTGCTACATGTATTTAACGGTCAGAGGGGTTTAAAATATAGATTTTGAACAAGTTAAAGTGTCTGGATGAAAAAAAGTGAAGTAGGAGGACCGGCATGACAAAGTGACACAAGTATATGTGTCATTTAGGTCATTCTGCCAAAATATAATTCTAACTCATCTTCTTCATCTCATCTCTCTTCTTCTCACCCTCTCCTTCGATTAATGCGTGTTTGCATGTCAGCTTATCTCGATGAATTGAGCTAAATTCATCTAAACATGTTTTAAAATAATTGACTATCTGACTGATTTAAAAAGTAAAAGAAAAAATAGGATTAAAGGTTTATACCAACAATGTGAATGCAACTGGACAATTCTTTACAGAAGAACATACAAGCAGCTGCTCAAGTTGTTGTCCAAACCAACAACATCAGAGTGTTCCACAAATATGACACGTATAATTTCCTTATTATCCAATGCAGCTATGTGTGATTAGGTAATAGACACAGACGCAACACATCATGTCACATATTGTAAGGATATTTTGAGCAGTGTGAGAAGAACTGATGATAAAAAAAAAATGAATTGCAGTTGCTTACAGGAAATAAGGACAAATAACACACACAAGAGAAACATCTATATGGGAATAAGACAGTTAAAAATGTCTTGTATGTACTAGATTTTAATTTCAATCGACTGTCAGTATCAAAACTCACCAGAGATCTCAGTTGCTCGGTCACATTCTTTCTTGATTTCCGTATGTTTCAGGAATTTTACAGTGACAGGGTGATGGGATTGGTAGAGAGAACAATGGATTGTATCTGCTAAAGGAAAACATTACTGTAGCTGCAGCATATTTCTTCGTGAACACGGAGCAGAAAGTGAACTTTGGCACTTGAGGTTAAGACATGCATCATTGAAGACAATGCAGCATATTCCAAAGTTAAAGAATAAAGTGGATATACAGGTGCAGAAAAATTGTCATGCTTGTCCATTAGCTAGACAATGTAGGTTAAAATTCCCTCTAAGTAGTACCAATTCTATTAGTTGTTTTCAACTTGTTCAGTTAGATGTTTGGGACCCCCACAGAGTGCCTACATATGATAGAAAATATTATTTTCAGTATTGTGGATGACTACAGTAGGTATACTTAGATATGATTGATTCAATTAATATGTAAGGAGTTGGTTGTAATAAAGAACTTTCTTGCTATGATAAAAAATCAATTTGGTGTGACTGTGAAAGTGTTAAGATCAGATAATGATAGTGAGTTCTTTAATTCTCAGTGTAATGGAAATCATACATCAGAGTAGCTGCCCATATGCACCCCAGCAGAATGGCACAATTGAAAGAAGGCATAGGCACATCCTAGAAGTTGGAAGGACACTAATATTCCAAAGCTCACTGCCAATGAGATTTTGCGGTAATTGTGTCAGAACAACAGTATATTTGATAAATAAATTGTCCAAAGGACTATTGCAAGGCAAGTGTCCATATGAAGTATTGCATGATAAACCAACAAAGATAGTTTTGCACGTAATTTTCCTGGAGGTGATAAGCTTGCTCCAAGAGCAAGAAAGTCAGTTCTTATAGGCTACTCAAAAACTCAAAAAGGATATAGATTTTATGACCTAGATAGCATAAGAGTGCTTGTTAGAAGAGATGTCTCATTTAGGGAACACATCTTTCCTTTCAAGGAAGGAACTCAGATCACAGAAGACCTGTTTTCATGTGGTGAACCTTTTGTTGTTACAAATGAACTCATACTTGGACAAATGGTTCATGCCCTTCATGATGAGTAGCAGGCAGATACTAAAGAACCAGACATTTCCACCACCCCAATTGAATTTGCACATGATCATCCATCGCCTGCACTAGTCGTGGAACCAACATCTGTAGTAGACCCTCACACAATAGATTCAGTTGATACATCCATACATTAGTCTGTAGAATCAGTTGAAGTGCAACCATTCACAGATCAATCTCTTGTGGGAGGAGTTCCTGCAGATGAAACTACTATCAGGAAATCTGGTAGGATTTCAAAACCTTCCATCTGGCTGAAGGATTATGTTACAACCTCTAGCATCCAGAACCATCCTTATTGTATCTCAAATACAATGTCCTACACTCATCTGTCAGCAAACTATAAAGCCTATATGGGTGTGTCTTCAGCAACAGTTGAGCCAAAGAACTTCAAGGAAGCTTGTCAGGACAAAAATTGGGTAGAAGCAATGTCAAAATAGATTAAAGCTCTTGAAAACAATGCCACATGGGAAATTTTGACCTACCTGTTGGAAAAGGGGCCTTGGATCCAAATAGGTGTTTAAGATAAAGTATAAGGCAAATGGGGAAATAGAGAGATACAAGGCTAGACTGGTAGCAAAGGGTTCACACAGCAAGAAGGGTTGGACTATCGTGAGACCTTCTCCCGTGTAGCAAAAATAGTTTCTATGATAACAATCATAAGCATAGTAGTTTCTAGAGGAAGGAATTTGTTTCAAATGGATGTCAATAATGCATTTCTGCTGGAGATCTATATGAGCATGTTTACATGGATCTACCTCAAGGTTTCCAGAAACAAGGGGAGTACAAGGTCTGCAAACTACTTAAATTACTGTATGATCTAAAGCAGGCTTCAAGGTAATGGAATATCAAATTGACTAAGATTTAATTATAATTTTATCCAATGTAAGAACTAGTAAAATTTGTTAAAAATAGAGAAAAGGTCCGATGAAAATATGAAAAAATAGTAGAAGAAATAACTTGATAGAGGTTGAAGCATATAGTCTACTTAGGGGTGGTAAATGGGCGTGTTGGACTAAATTTGGGCGGGTCAAGATGGGTTAGGTCAATAAATGGGTCATTGCCTAACCCGGCCCAAAGTGTACTTGGGCTGAGATGGGATAAACAATGGGTCATACCTCAACCCGCCCAACTTGATCCATATTTTAGAACCATGTCCATCTTGCTTTAANTGGGTGGTGCAGAAAAACAAAAGAACAGAAAATTAAAAATATATAAAATAAAAAAAAGTAAAATTGGGGCAACTAAGTAAATTTCTAGATAAGTTAGGTTGAGATCTCTTTGTTTTGGGTAAGTTTTATGGATTGTATTTGGGCTGCTTAATGGGTCAGAATGAGCTATAAAAAATAATGGGTTAACTTGAGCTCAACCCAAATTGACCCATGAGCTAAAATATTTGTAGCACACCTTATTAATCTCTGGGCAGGTTAGGCGGGTTGAATGGATTTGGGCTTAAATTGTCACCCCTAAGTCTACTACAAAAAAATGACTATTTAACTAAGGTTCACAATAAAAAAAACGCTAAAATAAAGATATATAGGTTGAATATGTGTATGAAAAATTCAACTACTAATTAAAAATTTAACTACGAATATAAGTAAGTGAATGAAAAATTCAGCAACTAGTACAAGAAAAGTTTGCTAGAAAAAAAAAAGAGAACCTGAAACCATTAATTTTGTTGTTGCTATAAGTTTTAATGATAAAAAGATGGAATTGTAACTTCTTTTTGTAGAAGTACCTGTGTATATAAGATTACATAGAAGTTTTATTAAACAAAAGACTCTTATAAAAAAGAAATTCACAAAGAACTAGTTTTCACCTAATATATTCTATAAAAGATTTAGTATAAAAATTTTAAATAAAAACTTTCCTAGTATATTTGTAAATTAGTCAAAATTTTGTTAACTTAAAAAACTTTTCAAGTGTGAAATTTTGATACTCCTAAATTTAAATTTACTTGAACAGTTGAAAGTATCGAAAGTTCCGCAAAATTTTTATTAACAGGCAGAATGGCCTAAATGACAATTGTACTTATACCACTTTGTCATGTCGGTCCCCAAACTTAGATATTTGTCAATTGAACACTTATACTCATTCAAAACGTGAATAATAAACGCTTATCCAAGGAGGCTGCCAGTGCGTGTATGATAATCGCCTACACATAGGACGCCACGTCAATAAAATAAAACCACGTAGGCTCCAAGTCACATATGATGGCCAAATAGGATAAAAAATCGACAAAGGATTATTTACCCCCCTAAACCCATTTCCCCCCCCCCCTCATTTTACAATTACTCGTGTACTTAGGGCTTAGATAGTAACGAACAACAGTGAGTCTCTCCTCTTTTCTCCGTCGCTGTTGCCAGGATTTTCATCTG